CTGAGTTTTATTCTTATAAAAATTTGTATACTGGCTCTAGTTAGTGATATTTCTAGTAGTTATCTAATAAAAATAAAGAAAAAGAAACAGAAAACCAAACAACACAACAATTTACATTCAGACACAACTATAACAAACTACTCAAAACTACTCTTGAGCAATCATATATTAGCTATCCAAAACAACAACATGAATTCTGGCCACATCCTGAGATTAACCCATCACTATTCACTATTGAGGGAAAACATATAGCAACCTTCACTGATGTGATGCCAACTAAACTTTTAGATAAACTTGCTACTCAAACAGAAGAGTATATCTGCAAAACCCACTCTATGCCAACTATTACCAAACGCCGCAACTATTACTTTTACGAACTTCTAAATGCATACCAACAAGCAGCTGCACAAAATTACCTTATTGACAATATCAACAAACAAAAAGCAATAGAAAATCTTACTATTAAACCTATTAGTACAGATTTTCTTGCTAAAGTTATTACATATTTCGATACTAAAAATAAATCACTTAATTATCCACAACTTGTTAAATTCTATAAAGAAACTGCTTACTCAAAAGCAGAGAAAATTATTCAAACAAAATTCAAAATGTCCTATACTACACCAACCTCCATAGAGGAGTCTCTCTTTTTTAAAGAGACTTCTTTTTAATAACTTTGTCTTCTACAAAACACATAGATGCAGCCGCCACCTTATCAAAAGAAACAACTGATATATTTGATAAGGAAGATGATGTAAGTGGGCAGGCGGTAAAGCCTATTTACACAGAGGACTATTTATATGAGGGTCAGACTCAATGTACAGAGCAGACTATGGAATCCTGTGCAGCTGTGAGAACCGAGCTTGAAATGGCAAACGACCTTGTAGAAGACAACCCTAACACTGACAAATCATTTTCAACATCTTTAAATTCCTATGATGAGCTAACGCAACATAATAACTATTCAACTACAAATATTGTTCATACTAATGAACTATACATAATCACATATAATCTTAGAACATGTTATAATCAAATCTTATTATCTCTCAATCTCTCTCCACTCCTATATCCTCAAACTATTGATTCCTTTATTAAACACCTTGAATCCTTCTATTACAATCTTAACAATATATACAACTCTTCATTCTATTTAACAATTAAAGAAGACTACAGCATTGCATATATTTATTCTCAGTCTGAATACAGATTTGCACAACGTGGTTATTTCACAACACCAGTTAAAAGTTATAAATACTTTCCCTTCATTCCCCTCTCTACTTCTGACATCACCTCTATTAAATCAGAAACTATTCCTAATCTGGTTAAAGATGACTGGACCTACAACCCATATTTTTACTTTCAACAAGATGTTCGTCTTAATCTTTATAATACTGAACATATTACTGATTCAGACCCAATACCTCTTCCACACTCATCACATCTATGCTTCAATAGATTTTTCAGATATTATAACTTGCCAACACTACCTAAACCACAAACTATTATCTCATTTCTTAATCATCTTAGCTTTTTTGGATACAATCTAGAAAGCTTTTACTCCTAAACCACTACTAAATCATTTTGTTCTACTCAGAAAAGCTCTAAAATATTACTGCAATATTACTCTTAAATCCAATAGCTACATTATATCCAATACACTAACAGATTTTTTCTTAGCTACTCCACCATTAATATCTGAGTTTCTCATTACAGAACAACAAACTGCTATATTACAATTAACAGAATCACCAACTACACCAAATTCATTCTTACTACCCAATATGAATAATACCTTTACTAATACAAACAGGCTATCTAATACACAACTAGGGTTGGAGGCATGGCAAATTTTTGGGGCATGCCCCTCTGTGCCTAGGGCATGCACTCTATAGATATATATTATATATTATCGTAATTAGCAATAGTAGGCTTTAATTCTAATTGGCCAATTTAATAATTGACCAATTATATAATAACCCTATATCACATGATAGAGGCATGCCTCTGGGGGCATGCCCCATGAGGCATGCCTCTTAACCCATGCCCCCAACCCTACATAAAGCATATTTAATATACTAGTATACAAATATAAATTGCCTTTTATTTAATATACAAAATCGAATAGCTTAATAAAATTTTAAGAAAATCGAAAATTTTTATTAATAACTAAAATTTTAAAATCAAATAATCAAATCAAATTCAAATTTAGATTTTTTAAATCAAATCAAATTCAAATTCAGATTTCAAATCAAATCAAATTCAAATAAGTCTAATATTTAATTTGATTTGATTTTAAGGAACCCTACTTTTTGGTTTTCTTTCAATAGGATTTTGAATGCTTACAATGCAACTATTATTGTTAATATTATAGTTAAATTCATCAATACTACTAATCTCATTAATGATTCTTTGCAATATTTTTTTAGATTAATATGAAATACTCAAGAAGTTCATGATAAATATCTTTATTGCTATCCTCAATTATAGTGATCATTACTTTCTTTTCTAACCCTCAAAGTTTACTAAACTTGTGTTTTTTCAGAATAGTTTTAAATATTTCATTAGGCAATTGACTTAAAACACTGTTTACAAATTCTTCAACTCTATTAATGTCAAATCTGTTATATAAAAATTGAGTTGATAAAGAATATACTTTTGATACTGATGTTAATACATTTTAAGAAATAGTTATAAATTCATTATTTGTTATATTAATTTTCTGTAACATGTTTTGGTACTAGTATCTATTAATTAAACTATATAGAATCTTGCAGTAGAAGTTAGGGTTATAATATGATAACAATGACAGCATAGATATCTATGCGATTTTCTAAGCATACAAGTGCAAAGAAAAGTTTTATCATCTAAAAGATATATAAAGTGAGAAATATCAGAATTTAATAAGTATATAACTTACTAGGATTTAATGATTGTTGAAAAATTATTTAGAAGTAATTTTAGCTATATTTGTAGGCAGTCAAACAAGTTGTTAATATATAGTTTGATTCATCAACCCTTAAAATAATAAAGATTAAAAAGAAATAAATAATTAACTAATAATATTCATTATAATAATATAAAAAAAATAAGTTTATACTATTAATAATATATTTTATAAAACATAGAATCTAATTATTACTCAAAAACTCTTTCCGTCAATCACTTACACAAAACTTAACTAAAAATTCGCCAGTATAAAATCCTTAATAACTCAATAT